CCCAGGTACATGCCCTTGACCAGAATCGAACCTGGGACCTTTCAGTCCGCAGGCCGACGCTCTATCCACTGAGCCAAACCGGTTTCGGCATATTTCCCTAAATTTTAATTAAATATTTGGACCTAGAGTACTAAACAACTTTTAAATTTTTAAATCTTTCTCAGTGGAAAATTAACTTAGATGACTTGGCTGGGAGGCAGTAATACTCATAAATTAAAGACATGATAAAAGGTATGTCTGAGAAATTTTCTAAAGCAAATGTATCCTCATTATACACTGGGCTAAATTTTTTCTTTATAAATGATAATAACATTAGTATGAAACTTTTTACAGTCCCTTTACAATGATCCCAAAAGGTCAGAAATATTTCTTGAATGCCTCTGCGCATATATATTAGTTGTTTCATTTGGATTGTGTTTTCAATTTTATATCAGATGTTGATTAAGAGTGTATTTACTAGCCAATAGTCAATGTTTATTGAGAGCTGATCATGCCCAATTTATTAGTCTCCATACTTATTAATTTTATATTCACTATAATTCTCTGAGGCAGGCCCTTTTCTAATTCCAACTCTTTGTTCATTCTAGTTTCTCATCCTGAACTGTTTTCCCTTTCATCTTGAGTCTAGACACCCTACCTATCCTTCAAAAAGGATGTCCTGATTATTTTTCTTGTAAATTTTTCTCTCCTTTAAGAATACCTGTGGTATTTATTTCACCTGTTCTATAGCAGTAGACATGGTTACCTTAGCATTAGTTTGTAAGTCCTTGGGGGGAAAGGCTTTATCTGGTGAACATGAAATCAATACATGGCTTAACGTGATTTTGATCATTATGCTATTCTGATCGGGAGTGGACAAATGAAGTTTACCCGGGTTTCCGCTTCTTATTTGGTCTCTGTCTTTTTCTGTGATCAGCAGGTGAAGATCTATTCACCCCATTTTATGACTGCTTCCTAGTATTTAGGACCAAGGTATAATAATCACGTTACACCTTTCACAGCTCTGTGGGTCTATATTCTCAACACAAATTGAAATTGGGACTAAAGAGTGAATGTGGCTTATCAATGGCTGTGAATGCCTTTCTCCAGCATTTTTCTGATTATGGATTCCTGATGGAATTGCATTCCTCAGATGATGTAATTTTTATTCATTCTCTAAGAGGAGCTCAAATACCTCCTCTTTCTTGAAATTCTGTCTTTCGTGAGCTGACAATGGATTTTTCTGCTCTTTGTAATGCTCTCTCTGACCCCGATTTTTATAGCACTTATAATTTAAGATATCTTTCAAATATATCATTATTTATCAGCTAGATGGTGATTCTTAAAGGGGCCTGCAGCATATACATTTTTTTAAATTCAGTTTGGCTATTACATAGTTCCCTCTCTCTTTCACTCTGGCAGAAAAAATTGTTTCCCTTCCTTAAACTATTTGGTCAGCAGCTACTCTTAATGAGTTAATAAAGATAAAGTTTCATGAATTCAAGTTCATCACATTGTTCAATTTACATAATATTAGGCCACTTTAGAAAATTTCTTAAGACATACATTGTAACAACAATTTCAGACAATATATTGATTTTTTAATACTTTTGTTCTTTGGATGAAATAAAATTCATGTCCATAAATAAATTATCCACATTCCCATCAGACTATGGTTTCTCATGATCTTTTCAAATACTTATGTGCATATGTAGATCATTATTTTTATTTGGGAGCTGAGGTAAGAAGGAATAACAACTAATATGCAACAGAAATATAGAAAGATACAATTCTGTTTTTGAATATGCTTCTTATACTTAGAATTGACTAACAGATGGAAGATGGAAGGTACTTCTATACTACAATCATTAGATTGTACAACTAAACCTTAAATTTGGGTAAAAGTTTACTGTAAATTTATTTGATTTTCCTAAGAAGTGTCTATACTGTGGCAAATGACTGGAACTTTGCCGAGTAAAGTTTCTTTTGTAATCTCAGTCCCCAAGCTTACAGGGCTTGGGAGAGTCCTGCCTACACAACCTAAAGAGTATGATGGGCATCTATCTGATCGATGCTTCTCTGTCTCTAGGGGAGAGTGGGGGTGAAGGGGAAAGATCAACCAAAGGACTTGTATGTATGCGTATAAGCATAAGTGATGGATGTGGACAATAGGGGGTGAGGGTGAGGGAAGGATTGGGGGGATGAGGGGACATTAGGGGGATAAGGCCACATTTGTAATATCTTATTCAATAAAGGGGAAAAAATTAAAAAAAAGAGTATGATGGGTTTTATTTCACATTAGAGGCCCAGTGCACAACATTCATGCACTGGGGATGTGGGGAGATCCCCCCCTCAGCCAATCCTGCACCCTTTAGCAGTCCAGGAGCCCTCAGGGGATGCCCTACCAATGGCTTAGGCCCATAAGCCAGACATCCTTTGTGCTGTCACTGAGACAGGAGAGGTTCCCACCACTGCCACTGCACTCACCAGCCATCAGCCTGGCTTGTGGCTGAGCAGCACACCCCCTGTAGGAGTGCACTGACCACCAGGGGGCAGCTCCTGCATTGAGCATCTGCCCCCTGGTGGTCAGTGAGTGTCATAGCAGCCAGTCATTCCACCATTTGGTCAATTTGCATATTAGCCTTTTATTATATAGGATAATAAATTCTAAGTAATGTCCCATACTATTCTGTAACCTTATTTAGACATGACTTTTAGTCTTTTTACCTTTAGATATGTTACTTAACAATTATTTTCCAGTTATTTAGGTGCATAAGAAATGTGGGTCAATTTTACAATAGGTCTCTAACACACATAATTAATATTCTCCATACGACCTTAACTTTGAGAATAAACTATACATCCTAAAGACTTACTACAGCTCTGTAAAATTGCAAAGTTATGTTTAAAGTTATGCAGATGAATGAACAATAGGCAGCACAAGCCACTCTGGTGAATGATAAAGAATCAAGCAGGAGAACAGATCGGTGAGGTTTTATTGGGGGAATATGAAAACTGCAGGATCCCTGAGTAGCTGCATTTCTATTTTGAGGACAGTGAAAGGCTGGCTCCTTTCCCTGTATCCAAACACCCTTCGCTCCCTCTCCACGCCCTTTGGAGTTAGTCACTTTGTTGTGGAAATAGCGGAGATAAAACTATTGGTCTTCTCTTGAATGCAAATATCTGAAGGAAGTGACCACACCAAATGCCTAGGATATGCTTATTGGCCAATTGGGCTACCTCTATATCCCAAATAAATTCAGTGCTGCAGTTGCATCAACAGATAATTTCACTTTAAGGAGCCATAGTTTCACATGGAATCATATTCAGATTGGTACAGAGGAAGCAATATGGAATTGAATGCATATTTAGAGAAAACATGTCATAGGGTGAAAAATATTCCATATAAATTCAGGCTTCCATGTAAAACTTACCTCAACCAAACCCCAGTTTTAAGGAATTATGTTTTTAATGGACTGCTCAATTTATAGATTTGAAATTGTTCTCTCAAGTTATAGTTTCAATTCTTTCTGCACCAACTTTTGTTTCCAAAGTAT